CTGGGACTTAACACCCCTTTGACTATGCAGGACTTGGTCCGTCCGTTGACTCCAGAGGAGGAAGATAATCTTTCAAGTCTCCCCCCTTGCGACGCACTACACAACTGGGAGGTGCAAGCCAAGGTTTGGTGCGAAAGCTTTTGGGACAGGTTTCGGTTAAGGGGGAAGATCTGTTGCTTCAGATGGGTAGTGACATTCCGGCAATCCCAAGGAAACTTTGGCGCTGGCGTGAGATTGCAGGTTGGCAGTGGACAGGTTCAGCTGAGCACATCAATGTGCTCGAACTTCGGGCTGTGAAGACTTCTCTCGCGTGGAGGATTCGTGAGCTCAAAGAACAGCGGACCAGGTTCTTGCATCTTGTCGATTCGTTGGTTGTACTCCATGCGTTGTCAAGGGGACGGTCAAGTTCCCAAAAGCTTCGAAGAACTCTTGCCAAGATTTCTGCGTTGCTGTTGGCCAGCGGCCTTCATGGTACCTGGGGGTACATTGATACTCACCAGAACCCGGCCGACAAACTGTCGCGCCGGCCCCTCCGTCGAACATGGGTAAGAAAGCGCCAAAAGTAGAAGCCAGCAGCAACGCAAAGCGGTGAGACAGAAGCTTGGTAAGTTAAAGGATCTGACAGTACAACCTCGCCAAATGAAGCCTGCTTGCAGCAGTTTTTCTCATGGTTAGAAAGGGAGGGCCTAGCTCTCCCCACTCGTGTGGCACAGATGGACAACCTGGTCTGTGATTATTTGGAATGGGCGGACGGCCATGGGAAGTCCGAGGCAAACAACAGCCTTGCAGCCCTTCAAGACTTTGACCCAAACCTTCGTCGAAAGCTCCCCAGAAGTTGGCGCCTTTTAAAAGCTTGGTCCACGGCGGAGATCCCTAACCGGGCACCTCCTATGACTCTGAGTTTGCTTGACGCTCTCTGTGGTTGGAGTGTAATGCACGAACTTCCGGATTTCGCTTTTTCCCTTTAAGGGTAGCTTTCTCCGGGTTGCTTCGCACCAGGGAACTTTTAAGCCTGACTTCCAAGGATGTGCATCACAAGCCCTAAAGGACCGGCGGTCATTTCCCTTTGTCTGACCAAATCCGGGGCCCACCAGAAGGCCAGTGAAAGTGTGACTATCTATTATGACACATCCGTGCTTCCTTCCCCGTATAGCTGGAAGCGCCGTAGCTCAGCCAACTCCTTTTTAACCACTAAGCCTCATGCCTGGAGACGGACTTTTAACCAAGCCATGGAAGGTCTCAAGCTCACCGAGCTGGGTCTCCGCCCTTACTCGCTCCGGCGGGGATTTCTTCCGGCATCACGGAAGTTTCGACAAATTGCTGCTTCAGGGCCGTTGAGCCGGAGCAAAACCCGCATGGATATTTTTAAATGAGGGTTTAGCACAGTTGTCTAGCACAGTTGTCCGAAATGAAAGACCCTAATTCACGTTTGCGGACCTACACTTCCTTTTACTTTCAGAACCCTATCCTTGAGCCTGGGACCCGGAAGGCTCCCAGATCAGGGGGGACGTGGAAAGCTGGTAAAATTGATATTTTTCTGCATGGTGAGGGTTGTGGTTGACACCCCTGAAATGGGCTTCCTGAATGACATAATGAGAGATGAACCAGGGGGTCTTTCCTCAGAAGTGTTCGGGCCCAGCAGGCTCCGGTGTGGCGGACGCAGTCCTGGGCACTGGGGGGGCACACACCTTTCTCTGGTCTGGCGGGGGTGCTCACCTTTCTCTGGTCTGGCGGGAAATGTTGGGACCCCAAGGAGGAACAAATTCGTTTTCCCGCACCTGGAGGTGCTTCGTTCTTGGACAAACTTGCTGCAACGCGTGAAAGAAGATCGGTGGCTGTGCTTGTATATACACATATTCAATCATATTCAATATTACATTGCGTTGCAGGATTCAAATACTAGTGAATTTGGATCAGAAGAAATGTTTTTGACCGCATGCATTTGCATGGAGCTTAGCAAAAGATCCCGGCATTTCTGTTTGAGGGCCCGGAGCCGGGCGTGGAGCCAAGTGCAGCGAAAGCAGAGGCAGGAGGCTGAATTGGCAAAACTGCCGTGACAGCCTGTGGCTGTCGTGAAATCTTCCTTGTGAACTTTGGAGTCGTTCTTTCTATTTTTCGATGGTAATTCGCTGCGTTGTCAGTCTTGCTCCATTTCTCACTGTAAATGAATTCAGATACGCTTTTGGACTTGACCAAACTGATTGGTGGCATCCGGAGACTCGGCCTGGCCGACATCGAAAGTCACATGGTAACAGTTGGCCGGTTTCCAGGTTTGGTGTTGCAGCGGATCCGCTCGATGAGTCAGAGAGAGTCAGAAAGAGTACGGGAAAGTCAGCACTGAGGGGGGACCGACCTTACACTCCGGGCACCTTCATCCGCAGGAATTGGGTGAGGCTCACATCGAAGGTCAATGACGCAAGTGGCAACCATTGTACCTAGCTTTGGATACATATATATATATATGTGTGTTATAGTTATATATCATATGTATATATATATATGAATACTGTATAGTGAGAGTTCGCTTGTCATGCTGTTAGTAGACAGGTTTCGTCTTTGCAGGTGGATTGGCTAGCAATTGCAGAAGGAGGCGGTCAGGTGGGTGGCAAGACGTACACCAAGAAGGACATTTGCACTTTGTGTTCATGTTTTTCCCCACCTGTCAGGTGAGGGTTGTTAGATTTTGCGACAGCCCCATCTCCTCCTCCTCCTCGTCCTCCTCCGCCGGACCCCAACCACGACCATCCACGCCCAGTGTTCCCTGCCGGACCTCAACCACGACCATCCACGCCCAGTGTTCCCTGCCGGACCTCAACCACGACCATCCACGCCCAGTGTTCCCTGCCGGACCTCAACCGCGACCATCCACGCCCATGGTTCCCTGCCGGACCTCAACCGCGAGCTCCATCAACCACGACCATCCGCGCCCAGTGTTCCCTGCCTCAACCGCGAGCTCCAGGCCCAAGTGTTCCCTGCCACGCCTCAACCACAGCACACAACCACAATCACAAACACAATCATACCACCACAAACACACAATCACGAACACAACCACAAACGCACAACCACAAACACACGACCACAAACAAAACACACAACCACAAACACACAACGACAAACACGCAACCACAAACACAAACACAACCACAAACACAACCACAAACACACAACCACAAACACGCAACCACAAACACAACCACAAACACAAACACGCAACCACAAACACAACCACAAACACACAACCACAAACACAAACACAACCACAAACACACAACCACGCCAAGACACAACCACAACCACAACTACAAACGCAACTACAAACACACAATCACAAGGACACAACCAAAACCATCACAAACACACAGCCACAAACACAACCACAAACACAATCACAAACACACAGCCACAAACACACAATCACAGACACAACCACAACCACAACACAGCACACAACCACAACCACAACACAGCACACAACCACAACCACAACACACAACCACAGCACACAACCCGAGGGCCGAGGACCCACAAACAAAATCCAATACTCACGACCATGGCAACATGCTCCTCACTTGAAATGTCATGGTGGGGATCACTCGAAGTAAAGTTTTTTGCAATCATCATGCATGTTTTTTTGTCCATGGTCCCGGTCTGAGTGCCACCTCTCGTAAACACACTGCCTGGACATTATCTCAAATATGCTAAAGTCGTTCCCTCATAACGGACCATTAAAGATCTCTCTTCTTTGCGGCATGTTGCCAGTTTTGAGCTTGAAACCTTGGGATCATAGATCAGTCAGATAGACAAATGATGACACATGTTTGTTTCTATAGGAGGTAAAAGTAAAGGCTACCCGCCACGGCGCTCGAAGATTCGACCGAGGGGGCCCATGGGGATCCTCATCCCTAATGCGTTTTCAATGCGAGGAATGCTTTGAACATGCAGTGGAGACCGACAGCGGAAATGTCAAGGCTTGGTACAATCTCGGATCTGTCGGCGGCGGTGCTGTCAAAGGAGTTCCCTATGACCAGAAGAGCTGCTACGAGCGAGCCCTGGAATGTGACGAGAAGTTTGCCTATGCATGGTACAATCTCGGATCTGTCGGTGGCGGTGCTGTCAAAGGAGTTCCCTATGAC